ACCGATGGCTGTTTCTCTCACATCTCTCTCTCCCTTCCTCTTTCTAAAATTAATTTTAAGTACGTGTGTGTGCGCGCGCGCATAATCTCCCCTCCGGTGAGGATTTTAAAAAACATCCGTTGAATGAGAAGCAGAAGATAGGGCGGGGGCGGGGAGCTCAAGAGGGAATGAATTTCCCTTAGAAGCACTTTGTTAACAGCACCTGATTTATCCCCGTACAATTATTATGTACAAACAGGACAAATGGACAAGAAGAAATATGAGAGGTGCCAAATAATCCAACTGATGTCTACTGTAAATGCTCTGGGTATAAGCACACTACAACTCCCAGAAGTCTCTTCTTACCCCCAATGAATGCCGCCTTCCCTCTGCCGTCCTAGCAGAGGGTGGAAAGGAAATTGATTTCCACCAAACCCAACCTCGTTACCACCACCACCACCGCCACAAAATGTCCTGGAATTTAGTTACCCCAAAAGACCTTGTTTCTCCATCCTCTTTTGAATCAGCCCGCCTGGCACTCTTACCTTCCTCTGTCGGATCAGCTTGGCCAGCTGCACCCCCGAAAGCAGCAGTAATGGTTCAGTCACAGGCGGTGTGGTCCTTGAGCCAAACTTGGGGCCGCCGAAGGCTCGAGCTGCTTGGCCTATTAGGCCAATGAGAAAGCCCATCGCCTGCAGAAGCAGCAACTGGATTCTGGCGGTGAACAGAGGCGCCATAGTGGCCTGGATTCCGCACGGTCCTAGTGCTTCAGGGTTGCGTGCACCCTGGGCAAAATGAGGAGAAAAGACTAAGCAAGAAGGTGCTTAGGAATCCTTTCATTTGCAAGCCGGGTATCTACCCACAATTCCACAGGAGCTTGTTTGTCATCACCTGCTGGGTTCTGGACCAGAGATGGGGGCGGAGTAAAGTCTTCCCAGCAAATTGCCTGTGTATAACGCAATCCGTCGTTAGTGCTGTTGTAGCCCTACCCAGAAAGTGAGGTAAAGGAACACTGGCTTTGGAGTTGCCAGTTCTGCCACTTACTGATCTTGGCCAATCTACACTATGTTTCCGGTACTCAGTTCAAATGAAAACTGGGAATAATTACTCTTACATCAAAGAGTTATGGTAAACACTAGATAATTAAACAGCACAATTCATGGCAAATAGTACAAATGGCAGTTGTTATAATTTGTTTTACCTGTGAAAAAAATGTTGTAAGTATGCCTTTGCATGTAAATATTCAGCATATTCAACAACTAAATAACAAGCATATACATATTATCTATATGCATATTATTTAATCCTTGTGAAATCACAAACAGGTAGTATTGATAAAATTAAAATAAAAAATATATGCCTGGCCGGTGTGGCTCAGTGGATTGAGCGTGGTCTCAGGCATCAAGAGTTACTAGTTCAATTCCAGTTAAGGACATGCCGGGGTTGTGGGCTGGATCCCCAGTAAGGGGTGTGCAGGAGGCAGTCTATTGATGTTTCTCTATCATCAATGTTTCTCTCTATCTCTCCCTTCCTCTCTCTCTCTCTCTAAAAAATCAATAAAAACACATTTAAAAATAAATAAATATATAAAAATACCTAGCCCACATCTCTCTCCAAACTCCAGATACTTGAATTCAATGCCTGTTTGACATCTCCACATGAATGTCTCACAGAGTCTTGATATTTAACATGTACAAAATTCATCATCTTCCGAAAACCTGCTGCTCCTGCAGGTTCATAAGTGGCATTTTCATCCATCCAGTCAGCCATGTCAAAAATCTGGGAATCATCTCAGATCCTTCCTTTTCTCTCATCCTCATGAATAGTCACCAAGTTCAGTCAATAATTTTCCCTCCTGACTCAGCCCTAGATCTCACTAATGTTTCTGTGAACTTCTGCAAATAGCCAAGTGATTACTCTGCCTTCGTTTGGTGTGTTCTTCATAATATACAAATGTGACCATGTTACTTCCCTGCCAATGACTCTACAATGATCACCCACTTTCTTCAGGTTCAAGCCCCATTTACTTTGATATTCGAATAGCTCGGTGTCTGAAAACCTTCGTACCTCATCACTAGACCATTCTGTTCCTCATGTGCTATGCTCCTGCCAAACTAAACAATCCAAAGGGTTTCTTTCCCCTCCATATATTTGCATATGCTTTCCCCACAGTTTCCCTCCACCTGACTCAGGACAAGTAGCTCCTCCTCTAAGAAATCTTCCCTGAACACCAAACTAGGTTTCATACCACTCTTTTGTAACACCACACTCCACAGATTAACAACATCATAACACTTATAACCCTCTATTTCCATGTTAGGTTTTTCTGTCTACTCCTCATCTAGATGTGAACAGGATTACTCTAATTTATCTTTGAATAGTCAGCACCCAACACAGGGATTGTCATGCAGTCAGTACAAGTTTGTAAACTGAAGATATGAATTTATGAAAGAATGAATGCTGAAGATAAGCCTTGAGCTTGACATTTAAGGCCTTGAGTAGGTGAAATGTAAAGGCCATCCCTTGAACTGTTTTTTCATTTGAATGACTAAGTTGGATTCTGAAAGGTGTCATCACAGGAATTCTAGCCTAGCTGGAAGCACCCAGTGGAATGCAGCTAATCATGACAGGAATATCTGACAGATGCACCAACCACAGCTGACAGAGTAGACTGTCAGAGTCTGGGCTCCATTACAGTTTTGAACAAAATCTGTAGCTGAATCCATCTTTACCAGGGAGTCTTTGTCAAAGGAAAAGTCTTTCCTTTGCCTCACTTTTGATACTTTATCTACATTGTAAATGACCATTATCTGAGTCTAGGGTACAATAGATCTGGATTCAAATCCTATAGTCTAAATCCTCAAACCGCCTCATACACATGTCCTTGAGTATGTTTGTTCATCTGTAAAAAAAGAATAACAGCTACCTCATGATGTTATGAAAGGTAAATCAACTATGTATGTAAAGATTCTACAATGCCTTCCCAATGTGTCACAGCTCTTTTTTTCTTTATTGAATTTATTGGGGTGACATTAATAAAATTATACAGGTTTCAGGTGTACAGTAAGACATCATCTGTATATTGTATTGTGTGTTCACCAACCCAAGTTTAGTCTTCTTCGAACACCATTTTTGCCCCCGATGCCCTCTTCTACCTTCCCCCACCCCCTTTCCCTCTGGTAATCACCATACTGTTGTCTGTCTCTATGAAGTTGTTTTTTTCTTAATCCGGGCATGTTTTTCACCTATCCCCACAAAGCCCCTCCCCTCTGACAGCTGTCAGTCTGTTCCCTGAGTCTGTTTCTATTTTGTGTTAGTTTATTTTGTTCATTAGCTTCCACATATAAGTGAAATCATATTGTACTTGTCTTTCTCTGACTGGCTTATTTCACTTAGCATAATGCTCTCCAGGTCCATCTATGCTGTGAAAAAAGGTAAGATTCCCTTCTGTTTTTACAGCCCAGTAGTAGTGTTCCATCATGTAAATGTACCATGGCTGTTTCATCCACTCATCTATTCATATACTTCGGCTGCTTCCAAATCTTGGTTATGGTAAATAATACGGCAATGAACATAGGGTTGCATATATACTTTCAAATCAGTGTTTCAGGTTTCTTCTGATAAATTCCCAGAAGTAGAATCACTGGATGATAGGCAGTTCCATTTTTAATTTTTTGAGGTAACTCCATACTGTTTTAAACAGTGGCTGCATAAGTCTGCATTCCTAACTCTTTGTATTTGTTTGTACTGGGCAAAGAAACACAGTTTAAGAAAAAGAGATGGGAGAAATTACGTTTTGTCCCAAAGATGAAAAAGAATGAGAAATAATATTTGTGTGTTTGTAGGGGATTGTAATCTCCCTATTAAAGTCAGGGAGGATATGTAATTCCACAATCCATTTAGCAATCAGTGGTGGAGGCTCAGGAGTTATCCCTGACTCCTAAATTTCAGTTTCCACTATAGATCTTACATCTTAGCTTGTCTGCAGTGTGTTCTCTACTCTTCATTTATACTGCTACTACCTGAATTATGTGACAGTTTGTTAACTGGTGCTATGCTGCCTTCAATCTGTCCTTTTTAAAAACCATTTATTACACTTAAATTTCATTTTTTTCCCTGATGAAGCAATTTATGTTTGTATTTATGCTGTATACATTTGGCCTGTTTTTCATATCCTTATGAAAATATAATTTTTACAGTTTTATAGGTGAACAATTGTTTTTCAGTGTTTCTCAAATTTATATTTATTTGATTTAGAATAATGATGAACACCTTTTTTTATATGATTATGGGTCATCTGCAACTCTTCTATTGTTAATTCCCTGCCGGTTCATGTCCCCTGCCAGATTCTATTAAGTTATCTTTTAAAAAACTTATTGTAAGAGTTCTTAATTTGGTGAGGGCATTAATCTTGTATATATCTTATATGTTTATAATATTTTCCTCAGTGAGTTTTCATTTAATATTATTAAAAGTTACTTTAAAACATAAAGGTAATTTAAATACTGTGCAAACAAGTCTGCTGAACTTTCCCATCATGATTACATTCTCCAATAATATCCTTAGTATCCTTTCTCAACGGTTAACAATTAACAATTCACCTGTTGTCCCTCTTTCTGGATTTCTTTTTATAGAAAAGTTTTTTCTACTTTGCAAATAAATCCTAGTATGGAGTTGAGACCATTAAGGGTAGGGTGATTGCTAGCTTTCTTAATTCTACTTCTTGCCAATTCCTCACACATACATCCGATGCTCCAACTATACCAAACTACTTACAATTCCCTAAAACAATGGTCTACAAACTGCAACTGCTATTTAAAATCATTAGCATGCTCCCTAATACATATATATGTATATATTTACATATAGACTATACTGAACTGTGCTAATACATATATTAAGAATGTATCTTATGGACAAATATAAAATGCACATTATAGAACACAAATAAGTAAATAAATAAATTGAAGTATAGGATATTTTAAAGTCTTATTATTTCCACACACTCAGATTTATTAACCTGTGAACTCCTAGAGGTATTGTTCACACCCCGCCCCCCCAATGAAGATTCTGACCTAAACTGCATATGCTATATAACAGTCCTTTAGCTGGTGTCTGCTTTCAGCAGCCTTCTTCTTGAACCCCTGAATCGTATACAACTATTTAAACTTTAAGACTCAAGACACTGTACCTTTCAGAAAGCTTTTTCTTCCCACTACCATACCCAGTTTGATTAGATATGACTCTTCCTTTGTGTTTCCGCAACACACCATATGTTGCCTATCACAGCACTCAGTACACTGTGCTGCAATTAAATGTCCATCTTTCCCAAAGAGTGGAGATTCCCAATGGTAAGGACCCTATCTTAGTCATCTCTCTATCACCAGAGACTGGAACAGGATGGGCACTCAAAGAGTGTTGATTTACTAACTGGATGAGTAAACGGAACTATCATAATTTTGTTTGAGAACTCCTAACAGAGTGCCCTCTGACATACAAACAAAATACTCAACCCACTACCACCACCAACATAAACACAGTCATAGATGCATATGGAAATATACACTCATTTCAATAAACACATACTTGTAATAAAAATATGAAACATTGACACATGGATCACATGCACACAATCATAGCTATGAAAAAAATCATTCCTGCTACCCTTTTACAAGTGCTAATATAAAAACAAACATATGCCTCAGTAGCCAAAAATATCAGGTTAGGGTAGGCAAAGGTCGTGTGGCTTGATAAATGGTAACAAAATAAGTAAATTAATAAAAAATGATAGGATTCTAAATGCACACACACCTTCCACCAAAAAAATTTCTTTTTAAAATATGTTT